TTTTATTTTATTTTATTACATTTCGTATTTGTTTACATATTCTGCTGTAGGTGGTCCCATATTCGAACACCGTCAGACATAACTTCAAAATGATAATATAAAATTTCGATCTTCCTTAAATTTTTCCTGAATTCGAAAAATAATCTGCGAAGTTCAGAAAAAAATGCATTGACAGTAATTTTTGTATGAGGTTATTCATTAGATGTCAACTAACTTACAGTTAACTGATTTTGGACATAAAATATCAATAAGAAAAACAAAATATTTTTTTTTTTGTTACTTTTTTATTTATTTTTTTATTTTATTTTATTACATTTCGTATTTGTTTACATATTCTGCTGTAGGTGGTCCCATATTCGAACACCGTCAGACATAACTTCAAAATGATAATATAAAATTTCGATCTTCCTTAAATTTTTCCTGAATTCGAAAAATAATCTGCGAAGTTCAGAAAAAAATGCATTGACAGTAATTTTTGTATGAGGTTATTTAAATAGAAACTTGTAAAAAAACAAACTCCCGATAACGTCCGCATGACTCCTGCACGACTTTACAACTAACTTAAAGTTAGTTGTGTCATAGCTAATTAAAAGTTAGTTATTTATCGAACTTCCACAAAAAAGCTAACTAGAAGTTGGTTATTTTAATCAATTGCTAATTTTTTTGTGCAAGGTATGTACATTTGGAGGTCACGAGTTGCAAATCGAAACTAGTTAATTCTTTAGTAGTTGGATGAGGATTAAAAAATTGCCGCTTGCTTGTACTCTTCTTAAGTTTATGTTGCTTCCAACGAATGGAATGGAAGTAAAAGCAAAAGCAATGCGACAACCGCAAAGTGCTCTCATCGTCGTTTATTAAATTATAACGGAGTACTATAATGAGTGAAACTAAAACTAGTTCTTACAGTGGCCAAAGAAGAATAATTATAACTAAAAATAAATGTTGGTTGTTGTTGTGCCTGAAGGCACCACAGTACTCCCCGTTTAATGAAAGCGTACGGGTTTCCTTATGGTTCGTTTTGGCCTCAACCGTTGTGGCGGTTGAGGTTCTTCGTGGAGATTGACTGGCTGTTTTTCCATCGGACGTTGTTTTTGCTTCGGTGATGTCGGTGTCACCTCT